CCCCGGCCGGGGAACCGGCTTCCTTTCGGCAAACGGCGGGGTATAAGGGCTTTCGAAAGGCAAGTCCCGCCGTTGGATAAGGCCCCAACGGTTTGGGCCAGTTCCTGCGGGCTGGAAGCCAAGCCAGCCCGCCGGGATACCGCCTCCTCCGCCACCGCCGGGTACAGCGCGTCCGCAGCCACGCCCGCCGTCGCATACGCCCACACCGTGTTGGCCAGCTCCTGCGGCTTGAAGCCAGCCAGCCCGCCGCGCACCGCCTCATCGGCCAACGGTACGAACAACGGGTGCACCACCCTCGCTTGCAGGCCGCACTTTGCAACGCCGTGAGACACGTTGGCCAGCTCGCGTGCTCGGCACGAAGAAACCAGGTCGAGCGTGCGCTGCACCAGCTTCTCAAGCTGCCCCTCGTGCCGCCGCTCGATGCGCTGCTTGCCCAGTTTGTTCCACAGGTTCGCAGCGTGGATGTGGTTCAAGCTCGCGCTGTGGGCAGCAAAGAGCGTGAGCAGAGCGTCGGCGCCGCTGGCATGCGAGATATGGCCGCTGAGCTGCTTAGCATTGAGCTGACCACCGGCAGCGGAGGTGTGCCTCTCGTCGCGCGATCCCGCACCACGCATCGGCGGACTCAACCGGCGGTCGCTGTGCTGAGGCTGCCCCTCGCCGCGGCGGTCGCGCCGGTCATGGTCGCGCCTGGGATCGTGGGACCGATCATCGCGCCGATCGTACATGTCGCGCTCGCGCTCGCCTATGCTTGGTCGGTCGTTGCAGCCGCGCCGCTCAACGTGCCGCCCGTCATGATGCGGCCATCGCTCGCCTCGCAATGGCTCGTCGCGCCATCGCTCGGCGGCGTGTGGCTCAGCGTGCCGTCGCTGCTCGCGGCCACTGCACCAAGAGTCGTCGTAGCCGCGCCGCTCGTCATGCCGCCCATCATGGTGCCGCCATTGCCAACGCTCGTCGCGCCGTCGCAGCTCATCCCGCCGCGGCTCATCGCGCGATCGCGACCGCCGTCGCGGCTCGCCCCGCCATCGCCGCTCTTCGCGTCCGTACTCGGCGCGCCGTTGCTCAACACGCCAGCGACGCTCCTCGCCATGATGGGACATCCGTACCAGGATTCCAACTTTTTGCGGGGTAAGGTATGGTACCGTCGGCGCCAAAAGGCAGGGCGGCGCGGCGGAGCTGTCTCGACGCAGTGTACCACCACCCACGCTGTAGATGGACAGAGGAACCAACAGAGCGCAGTGGGAAGGGGAAGGGGGGAGAGGCTGCGAAGGGCGAGGGGGGGTGGAAGGGGGTGGGCAGTGCTATGCCACCTGCCTCGTGCGCACCTCTATTCTGCTCCGGAGTGACTCGCCACCGCCATCCCTGGGCCCACTGGGCAGTCGTGTGAGGGGCCGCCCCCTAGTGGGTCCCCCGACTGACCCGTAAACCAACCATGTTCGGAGCCTGGATAGGGTGTAGGCCGTTCGGAAGGTGGGTCGGGAGGGGATCGCCCGCTAGGAATAGTCTTCCACGACCCCGCCCGCCTGCCCGCCTGCCCTGCCCGCCTGGCTGATAAGATCTTTTCACCTCGACCTGGTGGAGTACAGGCGCGGGGGGCGTGTGGTTGAGACTCGGCTCGTGAGCCCCGCAGACTCTCGCCTGCCAACCCCGAAGGGGCTGCCGTCCACCCGTCGCTGCCCAGGCCGGGGGAGGGGGGGGAGACCTCCTGTTCCTCGCGGAACGGGAGTAGGCCCCTCCTTGCCCGGTCGGGAAGCAGGGCGGTGGTCGTGCCATCGTCGCCTCGAACTCGAAACGCCGCATTCGTCGCCGGCGCGCGACAGGCTCCCGTCGGCCGGACTGCCCTCGACGAGTGGGTGTCGCCAACCAAAGCGACACGCACTCGAGGGTAGTGCCGACGGGACGCGGCTCGAGGGCGGCTCTCGCGAAGGCACGGCTGGCAACCGTGGCGCGGGGCTCGTGTTCGACAAGACCGGGATCGCTCTACCGGCAAAGCTCTCGCTGACATGCGCGCCCCGTCAAGCTGACGGCGGGCGCGCTGAGGTTGCACGCCAAGCCAAGTTATATGCCAAGGGCGTGCGATCGAGAATCGGCTCACGCACCTCTGCTCGCGTACCCTCACCCATAGAATTGTCACCGCCAGTGAGTGCGAGATAGGGCTGGCCGCTGGCGGCTAGCCCCTGAGGAGAGTGACCAGAGACACCTCACATGACCCCACACACGGTCTAGTCCGGCCTCGCGGTCGGCGGAGATTGCTAGAGGACGAGCAAGCCTGCTCTAGCCTCGCACGTTGCTTCCTGTCGTCTGTTGTTTGTTGTGCCCTTGTTTGTTTCTCTTGGCACCTTGGAGTGCTGGGGGGGGCGACAGGAAGAATGTGGCCCTGAGTTATGTATACGCCAACTCAGGGTGTGTGGCAGCCAGCTGGCTGTGTGTCTTGTGAGCTTGTTTGTGTCTGTGTGTCGTTCGTGCGTGTCGTCATCATCTGTCTCGCGTCCACCCATACCGCGTTGGTGTCCAGTCCGAGCCTGGCTGTTCTTCACCTTTCTACCTACCTACCTAAAAGGGTGGGGGGGTATGGTCCTGGCCGCCGGAGGCGGCCTGCTCGACGGGGGGTTTTGTCAATCGGATCGGCCACGTTCAACAGGGTTCGAACCCAGTACACAGCCGCCGTACACAGCCGCGGACACGATGCCGACTCACAGCGGCCGCTTCGATACTGTCGCGGGCCTTCTCGCCGCGACGCCGCCTCAACTTCGGCTCCTGGACAGCTCGCTGCCCGACGACGCCGAGCGCGCCGCTGTGCGCAGCTGCTGCGCTGGTACGCTTGCGTCTTGCATCGCACAGCTCGACGCTGCGATTGCACCGCATGCCGTCCGCATGATGGACGGGAGGCTTCCGACAAGCGACGCTTTCCGTGGCGACGACCACGATCTCAGCAAGCTGAAGGCGCTCAAAACTGTCGCCACGATGGTCCTGCAGGACGGACCGTGCTCTATCGCGAGGCCTGCGCGAGTCTCGTCCACGCGCGCTCCACCTTCTTCTCGGACCTCAACGCGGCGCTCGATGCCGATGTCTTTGATTCTGCCTTTCGATTCAAATCGCCGTCGTGGCTCGCGAAGCGCGCGGGGCATGAGCTGTTGGCGCGCGTACCGCTCGTGCGCGTGCCTTTGGCCAGCTATGGCGCGGAGGGCGGCGTGCGATGGCGGAGGCGGAGGTGGCGCCAGCGGAGGCGGCGGAGGCGGAGGCCGTTCCAGCGGAGGTGACCATGGTTCCAGCGGAGGTGACCATGGCGGAGGCGGCGCCGGCGGAGACCGCGCCCGCGCCCGCGCCCGAGGTGACCATGGCGGAGGCGGCGCCGGCGGAGACCGCGCCCGCGCCCGCGCCCGCGCTCGCACCGGCCTGCGCCCGCGCCTGCGCCCGCGCCTGCGCCGGCACGCAAGGCCCTGGCGGCCTTTGCGGACATGCTCTGAGGGGTGAGCACGATTGCCGGCGGGTCACCTCGCGCAGACTGCATCGCGCGAACACGTGCCGCACGACCGGACGGCCTAACACGACGGTTACTCTCCGCGCTCGCGTGGTGGGGTGGAGGGTACCGCGCCATCCCCCACCCCACCACAGGGGCCGTCCTCTGCGCGTGGGGGGGTATGGTCGCGGCGCCAGGGCGCCGACCCTACCATACCATACCCCGCAAAAAGTCCGAACCCTGTGCTGGCGTCCGAGTCTGTGTGGGGTTTTCTTCGACTCTTCCTTGGATGACGGCGGAGTCTATATCGGCGGAGCCCGAGTCGATCTCGGTGGAGCCCGAGTCGATAGCGGCGGATAGCAAGGGCGTGCGCCGCCAAACGCCTACTTCACCCGCCATGCG